GAAAAAAAAATGAATTACCATAAGAATATTGTAATTTCATCGCAAAATGCGATTTGTAACGCACGAATGAGCTGAAGAAATCAATTCAATCCGAGAAAAAACGTTGGTATTAGTGATGAGAACAATGATAATGACATTAATGCATTGTTAACAATGCTAGTAGCGGTGGACACTGGCAGAATGGGTGGGTGGAGGTGGGGAGGGAGGTGGTTGACGCCCACTTGGTCATTAGGCACAGGACATACATCATGTTACCCCTGGCATCCCGACACCTCGTTCTGTCAGACGCACATTCACCGATAGATACAGTGACAAACTGGGACACAATTGCAAAGATATAAATGCTAATGTATAAATTCGCGTATATAAAAAATTATCTAGTCGTTGAATGGTAGAATCATCACTCTACCAGTATCCACGTGTACCATAACAATTCTACTGAATGTCGAAACTACAAAAAAACGATGCAACACGTAGAAATAAAAATAACAAGTCTACTATTGATTATGTCTACCTTCAATTTATTAGCTATCAAAAGTCTACCGAAGAATTGACGTGATTAGTACACTGATAGAACGGATTAGTTATTGTTAACGAATGGATTTTGGTTGGAGGTTAGGGTCTATTCGGTCCCACCAAATGTTCATTCGTTAATAGTTAACGAATGTATATTTGAGGAGCCTTGTTTGACTTGACTTTCGCCATTCAAGTGAACCATTCGTTAACTATTAACGAATATTCATTTGGTCATATTCAACTCTATCATTCGTTAATAGTTAACGAATCTCGTTTGGAATAAATGAATCATTCTATCAGTGTAGCTTTCACGGCGGGTAGAGCCGGTAGAGTCATCAGCTCTGCCGGCCGTCGACTCTACCAGTGATAACGATTCCTATTTTTCAGAGTAGACGGTCGGTAGGGCTGGTTGTCGTGGGCTCTTGGCGGCCAGTAAAGATGATGACTACCGGTAGATGCATCTACCCATGATGCACTCGACCGGTCATGAACTCTACAATTATACCGATTCGCCGATTTATTATGCCGATTTTTATTATTTCTATCTATCATTATTTCTCCGAAAAAATTGGCACAATTCGTAGATTTAATGACCGGTAGAGCGGGTAGATCAGTTCTATTGGCTGTCGACTCTACCAATTCGGTCCGTTTCAATTTTTCTTTAGAGTATTAGCTATTAGCTATTGGCCAGAATCATTTTTCTAGTCGCAGAAAATCTACCGGTGATTAGCTCAACCGAGCGTAAACTCTATCAATAATGCCAATTCCTTGCAAAGAAAAATTAGAATTGACATAATTGATAGAGTTGATCACCTGTAACTGCATATTTCGGTAGATTTCTCATGACAAAACCAATTTTTTTTTTAATTTTCATTTCGCCCATCCTGTTTTTTACACACGCAATCGGTAGATTTCCCGGTAGAGTTGTCAATCGGCAGTCAATTTTAGACCGAGTTGTTTTCATTTAATCATTATCCAACAGTATAATCCCGCGGGCAATTAAATTTTGATTGAAATCTCTAAAAGACAATGATTGAACATCATAACTCTATCCACTCCTCTAGAATGGCTGCATTGACGCTATTAGTGCCTTCACAGAGGGGTGAATACTCCGACTCTGTATTATGTATCACACATGTTGCGCCCCTCAATTTGACTGTATTTCCCAGCCAAATTGGTGGATAAACCCTCAACACATTCAACTCCGGCTATCCACCTATCCTTCTCTTGTTTCCCCCCAACCTTGTACAATTGTACTTGTGTGTCATTGTCCGTTATACCTCTAGTCCTACCTCTCTGTGCGTTACGTACAAGTGCGATCATACACGGTAGATATACAACGTTTGTGCTTGGCTACTGATGCTAATATTCCCTCTATATATATATATATATATATATATTACTGCTATGCACCAGTGATTATCAACCGAAATTTAGTCATTCATACTTAATTATTCGTTAGATATATTTTATATTTTTGATTGATAATGTCGTCTCAAGGTCTTGAGATACGGTCTTCAGACGAACAACATGGTGTTCTCAGAACGAACTTCTCAGGAGAGAACTTTGAGATAATTTTCTTATTTTTCTGGAGATGATGAAAATTATCTGGAGGTCTTAAAATTTATCTTGAGATTAAATTCAACATACTGGAAGTCATCTTGAGGTAGTAAAATCGTCTTGAGTTGAAATTTAAGATGAAAGGACTCCAGATATAATTGTGATAGTTTTCTAGGTGATGGAAATTATCTTATCTCAGTCTTGAGATTTATCTTCGATGAAAATGACTCAGATGATCGCACACAGTAATAACCAGATTTTAAAAATTATTAGGATTGATTGAGTAAGTAGTATGAAAAAGAATGAATAGATAATAGGTGATCGCGAAAAATTATCTCAAAATCATCTTGAAGACTAGCAAGACCTCCGCTTCCATAGGGACGTCCCTCGATGATTTAGTGCTCTCATTCTGTTGTTTTTGGAGCTTTATGATCTCTTTTTCAAGGGTTTGAAAGCAGTTCAATTTACTTGCGGTGGTCAGACGGGTTTTTGGGACCGGATACACAAAGGGAGAGGAGAGTAGGTAGACCGGAAGTGGCTACCCTTCGGAGAAACCAAATAAAGGAGAGAAAAATATTGAGGGGGAAAAAATACATATCCGAATGAAAATATCTCAATGATGCAATTGTCCACATCCCCTTAATTGTCATTAATACGAATGCATTTATAGTGGCATCGAACGAGCAGCTGATATTCAAGTCGATTAAACTCAACTCGTTCTCGTTTGCTGGGTACGTATAAGTTTTCCAATGTTATAGTGTAGGTTAATATGTGTTGAGGACGAGGCACTCATCTCTCCTCTCTCAGGGTCCCTCTGGTACAATGCCCGGTATAATTACGCACCCGATGCCGGCACAAACTTCAACAAAACGCTTGGGTTACCGTTAACGTTTAATAAGCCGAGGGGAGAAACATCGACGGGATCAATTTCAAAAAATTTAAAAGCCCTTTAAATATCTTTTTAACCACTGTCATAAAAAAATCGTGCAAATTGCCGCTCCCAATCTCCGGTCATAACCCCATTTTGCCCCAGTTGTTCCCTCAAAACCGCGAAAACAACGATTTTCTGCGAAAAATAAAATCTTAAATATATCGAGAACTATTTGACAGAAACACATCATCATGTTGTGTTTTCAGCCTCAAATTTCCCTGCCTATCCCTTGAAGGAAAAAAATTTTTTTTTTTTAAATATCAGCATGAAATTGCAAATCTACCCTGACAAGTCTACCGAAGGTGGAGTGATCTAAAAAGTGAATAAACCACTTAAAAATGTAGTTGACAAGTCTACCTATCATAATGGCTATCCCAAATTTTTTAGATATGACAAGTCTACCCACATACACATCTACCACCAGTCAACTCTACCTTCAACTCTACCAATTACATTCATCCTCCAAAAAAAAACCAATTCAACACAGGAATAAATGGTAGAATTAATGGAAAAAACAGAATGGGCATAATTGGTAGACTTGACGTCTCGTATACTTCATCTCTGGTAGATGAAACTATTTGACAGAACTACATCGCCATGTTGTGTGTTCAATCTCAAATAAAAATGAAATTAACAAGTCTACCGGTCATAATGAATATCACAAATTTCTTAGACATGACAAGTCTACCCACATGTACATCTACCATCAATCAACTCTACCTTCAGCTTTACCAATTACATCCATCCATCCATCCTCCGAAAAAACACTACAACAACATGCGAATAAATGTTAGACTTAATGGAGGAAAAAATAGTAACGGCATAATTGGTAGACTTGACGTCTCGTAGACTTCATCTCTGGTAGATGCAACTACAGATTGACTTGTTAACTCTCTGTCGTGGCGATAGCCTCAGCCTGGACTCATTATTTTCATTCTCACGTGGTATATCCCACTCCTGGATAGAATTGACAATCGGTAGACTTCCTATACACCAAGAAATCGGTAGATTTTCCGAACAAAAATTTATCAAACGCAGTTGAGAGCCTCTGGGAGTTCATAAGCCAGTGGAGGATCTCCCAAACGGGTGGACTGTACCGAAATAATGTACAGTACCGCTCAAAGGAGGGTAGAACGGCGTTCGGCAGAGTGAGATGGTAGACAAGGAGAGGGGTGGGGGAGTAAGAGGAGGAGGAGGAGGAGGTTGCAGAATAGGAGCTTCTCTCCCTCTTGCCAGCCCTTCTCCCCCTCAACACTGTACGGATAACAATGGCGTGCAAAGGAGATTAACAAACAGAATAAGCTAACGCATAATCGCATTATTTCTGGCTAAGCCGCATTTAAATTAGATAGAAATTCCATTTAACGAAACAATGCGGAATGGAAGGAGGTGTTGAGAGATCCAGTAGAAATCATAGAGTCAGTCGAGAGCACTTGAGGTTCATTTTTTTTTTCCCCCCAATGATTACAGCTCGTATAAACAATTTTTGTCATTAGTAGAGATGAGAAAATTGAGGGAAATACATGTTACATGTGCTACTGGGTCCATCACGTGATGATTAGCCATGTTATGACGTCACTGTAACGCACCTCGTGGCGTTCATTGAAAGAAAAAAAGTGAATTCGTGTTTTCGTATTCTCTCGCATTTGGGGGGGGAGAATTGAATTTGACATTCTGGGGTCGATAATGACCCCATCGTATAACCGAGAAAATTACTGCTTCCAAACCCTGATCATAAACCCTTTTCGCCCCAGTTGTTTTGGAAATATTTCCAAGCCAAGTTTTGACTCCGAAAAATTGATTTCAATGTATCTTGATAACAACTGGGGTAAAATGGGTCGTCATATTGTGTTATCTGCCTCAAATTTCCCTGGCTATCGATTGAGACGAGTCTCATCGACCAATCCTGACCTTCAACAATACCCAGATTTTCCAGGGGAGGGGGAAGAAGGGGGGGGGGAGAGGTGACGGAGGAATTTTGACGAAAATTTACCTGTGCACCACCGGCAATAGACTGATAAGCCGATTGAAATGCATTGCCAAGCTGCGTCATGCTTTCGTCCTCCATTTGAAACATAATGTCAGCACCGGGAGATCCATTGTTGTTATTACCCATTAATTTCTCTGGATTACCAGCCTCCCTCAGAATAGTATTGGACTGCATTTTATATTATAATCCACAGGTAAAAATCGCACGGCCAACGAATATTTTTTTCCCACAAATAAATCTCGAGTTTATATATTTCCAGTATCAAATCACAGAACTTAACCTCAAACACTTGGTTCTCCTCATTTTATCACAGAAAAACGAACGAACAATTGATCACTTTTCCCCCCCAGCGCGGGGAAAAGAAAAACAAAAAAAAAAAGAAAATCCAAACAAAGTGTAAACAATAAATATTTTTCTCTATTTGTATTTCCGCCCCAGTCGGCAATGGAGATCGCAATTAATTATCATAACTGCGTATTTTCCATCTCCATTTTCCTCACATATTCCGTATCCCGTGTCATTAACAGTAAATAAATCTCGGATAAGAGAAAATTATGAAAACGACACAAAAAAAACCGTATTTCCTCGCAATTTCCCCTTAGTCTGTCGCATTCACCCAGCACAACAAACAGTTTTTCCTCAATTTTCCTTCAATTCTTCTTATTTTCTTCCACTGGGCACCTATCAGAAAACAAGCACGAGGCTGAAACGTCGGACACACATGGCGCTGACTAGCCGCGTCGTGTAGCGCCAGGAAAGAAAATAAAAACAGTTTTTCCGATTTTCCTCAATTTTTCCACGAGCTTTTCCTCCTCTGTTTACAGTCAACACTTTCTAAATATCAATCACTAGCACATGTATCCCGAGTTTCGGTAGTTTGCCCCCCCCCCAATCCGGGAAAAATCACTGACTTAACCTAGAAAATCGGCTCCGCACTCCGGAAAAATCAATTTTCCAAACTTTAAAACTTTGAATTTTCACTTTTCACGAGGTATTTTTCGCCGGTTTCAACCACTTTTTCATCAACTCTGGACGATTCATTCAATGCTAATTTGTTGCGACACAGTGGGAGGAAAATTCGGAGCCGAAGAAAACTCAAAACAACTGTGTTTCTTCATCGGAAAATTAAAAAAAAGGCGACAGTTGACAGGAATATACCCAGTCCAGACGAGGTACGCAGAGCGACTGACGCTGAACGAGGGGAGGACGAGTGTTAATCCCCCACTCTTGCCGGCAACCAATCGACGTACAGTATTTCCCCTGCGTCGGTGGAAGGGGCGGGGGGAGGGGGGCTGACGAGCAAACCCGAGTGGATACGATGCTCTTTGTCTCGTGTATTTCCGTGGAGTCTCCCTCCCTTTTATTTTTTTTTGCTCTTTATTACGCTCAGCGCCATCTCCACACATTCACTTCTGTCTCTCTTTGGGCTCTCTCTCGATTTTACTGACGACTTTAGAAGGTTGAGGGGGTGAATGGGGGGCGGCGGAGGGGGGGGGGGGGCAACCCCGAGTGGAGTTGGGAAACATCGGAAATTGGGTGAGGGGAAGAAAGGAAATTGAGGGTTAGAAAATTTTACGGAGGATTTTGAACAATTTGAGAGAAATTTGGAGATTGCAGATAATTTTGGAAGAATTTCGAAGAATTTTTGAGAGAATTCTAATTGAGGATATTTAAGTAGCATTTAGAGTTTGGTGCAGATCAGAATATAGATTCAGCCCTTTTTAAAATTTGAAAAATTTGAAAAAAAAAAGCGTTATAAAATTGCATTTTGTATAGAATTATTATTTTTTTGAACATTCATTGTTCATGAATAAATAATTGAAATTGTTTAAACTTTCGGAAACGTTCTTCTTCTAGGGATGAAATGGATTGTTTATAAGTTATTTACAAAAAAATGGTGGTAATTTTAAGAAAGTGGAATTTTTCAATTATCCCATCAATGTTCCTCCAAAAGAAAACTTTCTGATTTTTTGTTTAACATTGTTAAAATGTTTTTGATTCAATATCGAGATTCAAATTCAGACCAGCAAAGTTTAAATAATAAAATCATTGTAAAATGACTGGAAACTTGGAATGATGAAAAGATTTTGGAAACATAAAAAGTACAAAATTCTGAAAAATATTATGAAATTTCGGAAAATGGGGGGAATTGTTTTCCACTTAATGAAATGAAACATTTGGAAGGAAAACTAATTTTCTTATAAAAATATAAGAAACGGAACGAACAAAACCCATCAAATTTCACAAATTTTTGATTTTTTTTTTTAAATCGGTAAAATTGTTGAAAAATTGCGGAAAATATGGGAAATTTTGGAAATGAAATTTAAAAAATTGTGGAAAATAATTCCATCTAGGAAAATTTTTGCGAAGAAAAAAAATGAAAACCCACGGAAAATCATGAATAATTTTCAGGGCATGAAACAACTCACACGATCTCTCCCTGTCCCCCAAATTTCCAAATAATTGAAAATCGCCTTTTGAGTTTAATTTTTGTTTTTCACGCACGTCGAAAAATACTGGGGCAAAATGGGTCTCCGAACAAGGACTCGAAATTCGATTTTTTTCAGTTATCAATTGGAACATCTGTTTTTTGTGAATTATTACATATTGAATTTTTAATTATGAAATTCTGCCTTTCGATAGTTGTGATTTTCCGGCTTTTCCTGGCATTTCATCGGTTTATTTTTCCTCGTCAGATTGAATAGAGAGTAGGGGTGAGAAGAGGACGGGTGTTCAATCCGTTCTGAAAACATTGGCCCACTTGTTGAGTCGAAAAGCCGGAGGCATTCGAGTAATTGTTTGTGAATGGATCTTTTTGTTGTTCAAGGGGACGCTGGGGGTGACGAAATTCGTAAATTAATTGTGTGATTAATCGCACGTGACCGTATTTTTCTCCATGGATTTTATTTTTTCAATTTTTATTTTCTTCTATCATTCGTAAAAGAAAACTTCAAAATTTGTTGGTGGGAACATCTGTTTGTTGTTGCATGCAGTTCGTTCAACTCATTCCGAATTCAGCGATTATTTCGGAGAAAATTAACGGGGCCGAGTGAGACTGTGCAGAGGGCACTTTTAGGGGAAGAATTTATCGGATGGAGATTTACCACCAGACGAAGACAGGAAGCCGGGGATTGGGCATCGTATTGCATGGGTCAGTGATTCTCAACTCAAAATTCTCAAAATTATCATTTTTTTTGTTCTAAGTCCATTGAAATGTTTTTTTCATTGGCAAAACCTAATTTTTCCCATTCCATTTCAGAAAAAAGAGTAGAAAATAGGATCAATTTGAAAATTCAAAAAAAAAATCCATTTTAATCCAGTTACTTCCGAATGGAAGTTTTGTAATTCTTCAAATGTAAGTTTTGTTTTTTTTTTGTGTTATGTAGACCCTGTATCCTATTTTACTAAAGATGAAAGAAACGTGAAGTTGTTTTATATCGAAATATCTCGAAACTGCCTGACTGCTAATCCTTAATTCTGATTGGTCAATATGTGACACGAAGTTATTCACAAACAAACACGCGGCATTTTCAAATTCTTCAGTGGCATAATTTCAAATTCTTCAGAGGTAATTTTTTTTTCACGTTATATATATATATATATATGTTTCACATGTATATATATTATCGGTGAAATTAATAAATTCTGTCCTTTTATGGAGACCGATTATTTAAAGAAATTGAAGATAATTAATTGAAAATGAAAAATTCTTTATAGATTCTTTTACTCTACTTCGCTATTCACTTCAATCATTAATCGAATTCTCTTTGATTCATTATCAATATTTATAAGGTATTCATGAGAAAATGAAATTTAATTAATTCCATTTCTTATTCATTTTAACAAATGAATAGATCAGCGCGCGCCGAGATCTTGTCATACAAAAAGCCCGAAAATGCAATTTTCAGTCCTCGTCCATACGTGTGGGTATGTGTGTACGTATGTAACAATGTTTTTCTTCAATTGTTCGCTAATGAATAGATGAAATGGAATCTTTTTTTCAAATGTAGGGATTGTTGAGCCCTATCGATCGCCATTAATTAAATGTTAATTCATCGATTAGTTTTTTTAATTTTCGAATTTTTTCGAAAATCTGTTGTCCCACGATAATTAAAAAAAATGTTCTGAATTGATTGAATGGTGATTTAAAAAATTTGTTTGGATGTCCTTTTGACCAAGTTCGAAGATGAAGGCGATAGCAATAATCGTTATTTTGATTTATATGAAAATTTGCAAAAATTTGGTATTTTTTGAAAAACAGAATTCCGGGGATATCTTTGAATATCATGCTTCAAATGAATTCAATCATAGCTTAAAATGTTTGTTTCAATGCCATCAAGTCGAAGTTAAAAGATGATTACGATAGCTATATTAGTTGATTTGGTTTTTATGATGATTGTTGAAAATTTCGAATTTTTCACGAATTTCCCTGAGAGTGAGCTTTCTGATGGTTCCTTCAAATGTGATGTTTCAAATTCATTTAAATACGTGTAAATAAAATATTTCTATTAACATTTTATCGAAGGGGTGAGGGGAGAGATAGAACTGTAAAAAAAAACAATCGATTGTAGAGAAGAAAGCGATAATACGAATAATGATGATGATAACATTCAACTAAGTTGAAAATCTGACAAAATTAGTTGAAAAGAAATCATATTCAATTAAAAAAAATGAAATAAACAATGAATTATACATGATAGAAGGAAACGATGTGCAAAATAACCATTCGGAAGCATATTGCTAATTTATTAGCAAAAATAACTCTACTGTATGCAATACAAGAGCAATTTCCCACTTTTTTTTCATGGGAAGTTTTTTTTTTCATCAGTCATCGGCCCAATTTGTACGTGTAAATAAAATCTTTCTATTAACATTTTATCGAAAGGCTGAGGGGAGAGATAGAACTGTAAAAAAAGACAATCGGTTGTAGAGAAGAAAGGGATAATACGAATAATGATGATGATAACATTCAACTAAGTTGAAAATATGACAAAATTAGTTGAAAAGAAATCTTATTCAATTTAAAAAAATTAAATACACAATGATAGAAGAATTATAGATGATAGAAGGAAATTATGTGCAAAATAACCATTCGGAAGCACATTGCTAATTTATTAGTAAAAATAACTTTATTATGTGCAATACAAGAGCAATTTTCCCCTTGTTTTGATACTATTCTCATGACCGAATTGATTGAAAAAATTGTTGAAAAAAAATTTGTTAGTTATAAAAAAATGCGATTTTTCAATTTTTTATTTTAGAGCAATTTCCCGGGCATTATCAACTCCATCCCATTGTTTCAGTACTTTGTTTATTATCAATGACGCAAGTAATGGGCTATTGTTAAATTTTCCCTTCCCCCATTTTCATTGATTCAAGTGTTGCAGCCGATAGACTGAAAATTCGAAAGTAATTTTAGTGTCGTAGTAGTCACGAACAGTCGAATGGGATGAAGGTAGGAGGGGAGAGATGTATAATTACCCCAACCTAACCCATGTATAACCCACTTGGCGAGAGTTTGCGAGAGCTCTAGTTCTTAGGGTGGGCACTGGCCAATTCAAATCCGGCTAGTGAATAACGAATGCTGAAGACAAATGCATTCGATTCGATAGTTCGGCATCGAAAGTGCCGCCAGCGATGGAAATATTATTTTCTATTTTCCCCATTATTTCCGGAAAATTACAGGAGAACCTCTCATTTATTACAATTTTTATGTCACTTATAATAAAAAAAAGAAATTAAGTTAAAATAAAATTCTGTGATTTTGGAGAAATTTCACGAGAACTACTCGTTTGTTATATTTTTTATATCATTTATAATGTGGGTAGAAACATAAGAAACTGGAGGTGATTCTTATAAGAAATGGAAGATATAAGAAAAAAAAATTGTGCAGAAATTTTGAAAAATTTTGAGAAACAATATTTTTAATTTCTTAAGTTAATTTGTAAAAATTGCGAGAATCTCTCATTTCTTAAATTTTTTACATCACTTAAGGAAGGGTGGAGCAAAATGCAACAGCCGAAAAATGACTATTTGACGCAATTCAAGCAGAAATTTTTTTTTCAACTTTTGTTTATTGATTTTTTTTTATTACTGAGAGATTATTGATAAGAATAATATTTTTTTATTCACATTATAATTCAATTGATTAGATTCGGCCAATTAC